CGGTCCCAGCTGAGGTCAGTTCTGAAGATGTCTAGACGTTAATATGTTAAAATCGTGCGGAATATGTAAAGGAGAGGCATTGACTGTGTGCGGTAAAGGCGACGTTTCGGAACTCGTTTCAGGATTTTGACTTTGCATTGTTCTGGTGTTTGTTGGTGTGCGGCTGGGTGATGTTTACGTGGTGTTGAGGCTATAAATTTTCATGGTGGTGATGATGTATGGCTTCGGCACCTGTGGCTAAGTCACTTTCACTTCAGGAATTGGCGACTGTTTACATTCGAAATAGTACTAGAGAATTGTAATTCTAAAGATTGGCTAGGTTGATATTTTGGCATTCAGGAAATGACAGGTTATTTTTCAGAACTTACATTATTATAAGTTCACCAATAATATTTCAGCTACTTCTAAAAATGAAACACGTTGCGAATCTCCAGCTTATTTTTATCCCTTAACTATTTCTAAAATCAAAGACGTTTGGGATCCCGAAATTACTTCAATGAGCGCAACCACTTTTATAATACTTCTTTGCTTCTAAAATTGAAACATGTATTTGTCCCCTAAGATTGTATTTAACGACTGCTAAAAATGAAACACATGTCATAATCCGAAATTACTTTAACGAGCAAAGCTATTTTTATTACCCTATTGTATTACCCCCCGAGATTATTTCAATTGCTGCTAAAAACGAAACATACATTTGTTCCCCGAGATTGTTAAACACGTTGCGGATTCAGAGATTGTTTTAACTGCTGCTAAAAATGAAACATGTATTTGTCCCCTGACATTTTTTTAACTACTTCTAAAATTGAGACACATGTCTGATCCCGACATTATTTTAGCGATCAAAGCTATTATTGTTACCCTACTTCTAGAAATGAAGCATGCATTAGTCCCCGAGATTATTTCAAGTGCTGCTAAAAACGAAACATGACTATTTAACCACTTTTAAAAATGAAACACGTTCGAATTTTGAGATTGTTTCAACTACTGCTAAAAATGAAACACGTATTTGTCTCCTGAGATTATTTTAACTACTTCTAAAATGAAACACGCTTGGGATCCCGAGATTATTTCAACAAGCAAAGCTATTTTTATTACGCTACTTCGAAAAATGTAACATGTATTAACCCCCAAAATTATTTCAACTGCTGCTAAAAACGAAACATGTATTAGTTCACGAGATTATTTCAATTACTGTTAAAAATCAAACATTTATTTGTTCCTCGAGCTTATTTTAACTACTTTTAAAAATGAAAGATACGTATTAGTTATGTAGCCATTGCAGAACCCACAAAACCGAAAAATGAGTAGTCATTAATAATTTCATTAACAACAATAACCAATTTACACCGTAGATAAACTGAAAGTTGTTTTATTTGCATAAAATTTGTTTTCACTAGTGTATTGTTGTAGTGTTTAAGAATGAAAAATGTGTGAATATTACGAGTGGGTTCGTACCGCTTGGGATTCAAGATAGTGCTAAATGAGCAATTTTAAATTTATCCACGAAGTCTTGGCAGCTATGTGATAAATAAATCAAAGTTCGTTTGTCGAACTCATTATCCACATTATCTTCGCAAAAATTTCTTAAATAATTCACTAAGTAAGGAATTAAATTCAAATCAAATCAGTTTGATAGCTCATGAATGTTTCATTTGTCAATGTCCGACTATCAACACCTGATTTAAGTGTTTGCACCCTCCTGTAATTTGTCTATTTTTAACCTGATAAAGTGACATTAAAAAGCAATTTGTTATTAAATTTTCGGGAATTTTTATAAAAATCTACTTAAAAAGCATTGTTAACAAAAACACACAATTATTACACCCGCTTTCGTACTTCGCTTTAATACTGAAATAAGTCATTTATTTAGCTTGGAAAAGTGGCAGACTCAGAACGGACCCCAGAAAACTCCAGTGGTATATTTTTCTTGGAACGCCAATCTCACTTCACAATTTGAATTTAATCAATTCTCAATTTTGATCTCTGGATCGCTATAAGTTGGATAACTTGGATAACGATATTAAAATTTATTTAAGAAAGCATTGTTAAATTTTTTCGAAATATTCAGTGGCAACTTTTTAATAAAAAATAATTGGTAGAGCTGTGACACTGTCAGAAGACAACTAGGACATCATAGTGACTGTTGCTCAATACTGACCTTGAACCGACCAGTCAGAGGCGAGATTTCTATAAATGTTAGACGTTGACAACAGTTCTAAAACCAGCCAGGATCAAATCAAGATAGATATTTTATTCGGTTTATATAAATTTATTTGTAGCCCATTTTAAATCGAGTGATGCTTCAAAGATCCGCGAATTGCGTTCCACTTCAGTGGCGAACCCCTGAAAAATTTCCATTCGACCGCTGTTTCGCCTAGACACCGCAATAACCAGAACCCATATTTGAGACAATTATCAGAACTGTAACAATGCGATTAAGTCACTGCTGACTAATGACACTCGTTATTTTTAAAATAGTGTTTGTTTATTGGGACGATACTTGCAGCGAATCTATTTATAACCGCGGAATTTTTTTAAGTACCGTTTCCTGTGCGCCCGGCCTTTATCAATCCGGTAAACAATTAGGACGTCATCCGTCCCGGATTAAATCTGCCACTTCAAGATTGATCTAAATCCTGCTTTAAACTCGTTATCAACCAATAACAATAAAAACCAATTAACTACCGGCGATCGCGGCTTGTGCGAGCCGCATACAAAACGCCGATTAAACCCATTCGAGCGTCGGCCTTGATTAATTAATTTTTGCACAAAATCGCTTAAGGTTACAACCGTACGGCAAAATTCTCGCGATGTTGCTAAATGAGCAATGTCAGGCGTGTTCAATGACTCCGGTGATTGTGGGCAAGGGACTATGTCAAACGAACTTTTCTGCGGGTATTTTTGCTCGCAAACCAGTCGGTTAAACTGCCGTGGAAATGTATAAATAGCCGAGCAACTTTTACCTAAGCGGGTAATAAGTACTTATCCTTATTGCGAAATCTTAAAATAGCGCTTTCTAGAATTCGCCGGCGAGCGGCTGTAAGAAGGAAGGCCTATTTTCTGGTCGGGCGTTCATGTCTCTGGGAGAGGATAATAGAGACGGAATGGAGAAATTGACGTGTTTGTAGAGTGAAGGTTAAATCTGTGGGTTATCGGAACAATTTTTAGATTTTTAATGACCTATTGTTAGCGAGACTGAAGTGATCTATGACGGATTAGGCTGAACTTGATCTTGGGTTTTGTGTTTGACAGTAGGCGATTTTCTGATAGTTTATGAGTGTGGGTGGGTTTTAGAACTTCTTTCGGTAATAATTATTATTGTCTCGTTGAAAGTGCCAGGGTTATTAGATCGATTTGCCAGGGTTATTAGATCGATTTTGATTTGTATTTATTTTTGTCTGCTTACAAGTAAATCCCCTAGAGATTATTTCGTTAAGTTGGACGAATCACGAGATTTTTGCTTGTGTTTCTTAAATACAATGGCTTGGGATAAATATATCGGTTATGACTTTTTTCAAAGTGGCATTGTTTCGTTGATAAAAAGTTGCGGTTAGCACATCGCGTCAAAATGGCTTCTCAAGTCCTTCGTAATGAACTTGAAATTTCATACAGTGAATTCTAGAAAAAGCACATGTTAAACATTGACCAGATGCCCCCATTTTCGAGAGTTAAAAGAATTTTCGCCCAAGGCTCTGAAGAATTTTAGAATTAAGTTTGACAAAAATATTTAAACTAAAATATTTCTTGGCAAATTCAGTTTTCCAAAAAGTATAAAAATCTAAGATATTTCTCTCCTGCCACAATTTTTCCGAAAGTAGAACACATTGATCAAAAACATTTATTTTTCTAGATGAGATTCTGATAAAATGATGTTATCTCATTAAAAATCCTGATCTGTGTAATTTTGCAATCTTCAACGATTTCTGCGATTAGCGGCTTTTCACCTTTATTGAGTTTTCGACAAGTCTGTTATTTTTAGAAATCGATTTTTTGAGTTTCAAAATCAAAAGTTTTAGACGGTCAGCTGATTAAGTTTGCTAAATTTCCAAGATTTTCAAAAAAAATTGTTTGGTTTACTGCGCTTTTTGGAACTGGAGATATTCAAAATAAAGCCACAATATTCATATTCAGATTTTTTTTTTTAAATCATGTTCGCTGTTTTGAAATCATGTTACATCAAATTAGTTACTTTATTTAGTACGAAATTTATAAATAATCAGAATTAAAAATCAGCTACTAAGAAAGAATTTAAATCCATTTAGACGTCAAAACCGCGAACATTATTTTCCTTATTACAAAGAGATTTAAAAGATTAAAGGATTTTTTTTCAATTTGAAATCAGCCAGTTATCAGTAATACAATAAACTGAACTGTACTAAGTGATTTGGTATTTTAAGCCGCAGTATTATAAACGGACAACCGATGCGAGAAAGATTCAAAATTATCGACGATTTTAACATATCCACATAAATATATATTTAAGTTTATCAATTTTTTCTTTTTTTCAAAAATGACACTTAAAAATAAGAACAAAACGATGTTGCTGTAGAATTTCGGTTTTTAAATTGATTTACCGTTTATTGAATTATTCTAGTTACAAATCATAAAATTGCTTTAAAAATTTAGTCACAATAACTGAAAACCATGAAAAATTTAAAAACTAAACTTTAAAATTTTAATTCGCGAAAGTACTACGTCGAGCGAAAATTTTGAGTATTGAATTTTTTTTTTTTGATAAAATTCTCAGAACGAAATCGTCGACAATCAGTTACTGCACAATCAGCACTATTAACCCAACACTACTTTGTCGTTTAGAAAGCTGAGATTTCCCGTAAATCATAATTGAAATTAACGATCGGGCTTTAATTATTTCGAAAATATTGCAACAAGAATTACTCACTTTTAGCGGCCACTCACTCGTTGATTTTTTTTTTCAAAACCGTTTTTTCGCAAAATCCCTCAACAACCCCCGAATTTTCCGAATTTCTAAGACTTACTCGAAGTTCTGAAGAAAATCAACCGCCGTCGCGGCGCAGCAGTTCGCTAGGGTGATCCAAGTCCCGGAGTGTCCGGCGCCGTCCCGGAGAGCTCCTGGTGCGCTTCGGCTCGTCGAGGTCTCTGCAAACCACCGCGGAAAAATCACACACACTTATGTTAAAGGCTCTCGTGTGGATGCGCCCCAGTTTTGGAGCTGGTCGTTCTCGCGGGGAAATCGGTTCCAATATGTCGCTGGAGAGCCGGTTGGAACTGGTTAGCTTCGCGTTACCGCCGCCACATGCACCGCGAACAAGAGCTAGGTGTGTACTGGCTCACCGACCGGACTTGGAACTGCGACACCTTTCCCCCAGGACCAGCTTTTACGGAGATGGTTCACGTGCCGGCTGGAAGCTGCTGGAGGTGACGTCTGATAGGTGCAGGAGCGAGTTCGGAGATCCTTACGCGGACCGCCTTCGGAGATAAGAACACTATTGTGATGTTGGCTCTATTGTCCGCCGGGTTCGGCACCGAGAAGTGCTGCTGCGAGAGAAAAGGGGGGATGGGAGGAAAAACGATTTCCATGGGCAGATTTGCCAGCACGCATGAGCTGAGAAAATGGGTTTTTGGGGTTTTGGGCACGGGATGGTCGGTCAGGTTCGGTTCGACTTTTTTTTTTTTTTTTGAAACGTGAAAATAAAGCCCCGACTTACGAGCGCTTCAACACGATTGATTTTTTCCTGCTTGACGCCTAATATCCTGAAATATTGCACCATTAACATGATTTACAGCGACAGAAATATAGTTAATCTTAATATCCGAGCTATAAAATGGTAAAATGTTTCACTCATTTACTGCTCGATTAGTCTCTGGTTTAGGACGAATTTATCTAGTTGACTGTAAGTAAATGATCAGGTTGTAAATAAATAAAGGGTGGTTTTGAAGAAAGTGGTCTTAACTAAACATCGTCGACTTTCTAAGTGCTCTAGACAATCAAAGTTTAATGTTTCTAAGAAGTTGAGCAGTTAAGATAGTGAAGACACTTTGACTGGCAACCGTTGGTCGCAAAACATCTATGACTCGAATTGATCGCTATATCAGGCGACTTGGTATTACAGTGTTGTGGATATTTCGTGACGTTTTAGATATTGTTGCTAAATTTATTTGGTACAACAACTAATGGTGATGGACCATGAAACTACATTTTTTTCATGGAAGACGTCATCAATTTTTTGCAGGGAGGAATAGACAAATTTTGGTTCATGGTCTACCATCAACGCGATTATCGTAAAGTACACTTAAAATTTTAAAATAATGGGTGACTGTTCATGTTTATTTTTTTTGTCAGTTTGGCAACAAATTTAAAATTTTATGATGGCATACCTGATTTAATTTGAAATTTTGAGCGCCAATTCAGTAGCTACCATCTTCTCATTGGTTTTTAGGCGCGTTCATGTCAAAATTGACAACGTGGACTGACATGCTGCCAATAATGCAAAATTGCCAACTCAAAAAATTTGCTTCAGTCATTAATAGTTAATTTCGAAGACTGTTAGTTTAACAAATCGTCAACAGACGGAACGACAGACACATAGAAACGGGAAACGTACATTTTCGTATTATACAACCTGTGAACTGAGGAGAAAACATGATCATTTTCTTTGATTTTAACAGCATCAAATTTCTTTTCGGTTTTTACGATTTCGTTAAATATTTTTTATGATATGCTGCACTATAATTAAATTATTTGATCCTTTCTCTCCTTTCTTGTAAATGTCAAAGGCATGCGTCAAAAACTGTGTTATAATCTTTCGTTTAGTTTCGTGTGGACAAAAGTCAAAAAAAGTTTGGCGTACTTTCACCAGAGTAACTTCCTTTCTCGCCATTCTTTATCTACCCTTATTTTTATTTTCGGAGCGTACAAAACAATAGGTTCCCCGTTTCCGTCATCCCCTCATAAAATATTAATGACGTCACCAGAAAATTTTGCGAAATAGGTGATAATGAAATAATGACGTCCTCTTCCTGCTGAGTTAGTGTTGTTTAAATTTTATAAACTAAGATATTCTTGCACTTGTGATCTATGAATCCGTGTTGAATTTTCTCCCTTGATATTCAAATAATGGGAAAAAAATCTTAACATTTTACAATTTAGCTTTGGAAGCGGAAACCCGAATGGTTCGTAATTACAGTAAATAGTAATGAAACTTTGTCTCCTCTCTCCCTCAAATTGATGACGTTATCGCCAAACTTTCTCCGAAACTTCTCTTCTAAAACGTGTAAAACATTTTGAGTTTATTCTTGTGGTTTATCAATGCATTCAAATTGTTTTACTTAGAGGTTATCGCAAAAAAAATCGCAAAATCAAATTTTATAGTTTTTCAAAAGAGTGGAATTTTGGATTGTGCTAATTTTTTTTGTTAATTATTTTACGATTTTTGTAAAATTTTACACATTGGTCACTCTGTTGATTTTTCTGCAAATTTTACGCTATTTTGCTTAGAATGGCTGAAAATTTTGTTCTTTGATTTGCTTTCTTGTTTAACATTTTGGTGTTTTTCTATTTGTTCTTAATCTACTTTTGTGTTCCTTTCTTTTAAAATTTGCGTCATCATTTATTCGCTGTCTATATATTTTTGACTGGTAGTTCGTGAGTTTGTTTGGACAAAAAACGTTCTTTTTTTGGGTATTTATATTATTCAGACAAGCAGAAAGTAGGCAGGGGCTCAATGGTCATACCTGTCTTAATCCTTTACATAAAAAAAATCTCAGATATTTATATTTTATATATAGTTTTCAACATGTACCGGAAACCTGCCGCAACCTTCAGGGAGTCGCTCGGGAATCTTCGTCTCGTTAGAGAATTTTCGGGGAACCACAAATGCATAGCGACTTTTCAACACCTTCGGAACTAATTCTGGCGTTTGTCCAAGAATCCCGAACAACTCACACCTTCCGAAGCTTGCCGAACGACTCCTGGTTGCTGGCCTTTACACTTTTTCAGAAAACTTTGACATAGTAGTTCAAACAGACGGAATTAGAAATCGATATTTTCGTACTTTATATACTACGAAATGCCGAGCAAATATAATGAAGACCCGTCAGTGACATTCACATACTAAATTTACACTAAATCTGAACACAACGTAGAAAATTTAGTTAAAATTTATGGTGTAGAGAATTTAACAATTCAAAGTCAATAATTATAATTTTAAATAAAAGAACTCTGTAGTCTAAAAGGTCGCTGGTTTGTACGTCTACTAACTTTAATATTTTAGCAGGTAGAAAGAACACAATTATTTAATGCTGTTGTTATTTTATATTTTTGTTGCAACACGTTTATCAGAACAAGTGCTTGATAACTGCCTCAAACGACCAAACGCCAAACAAAAAACAGCGACGTACTGGAAAGTTTTTAATCTTTTTTCCCATCAGCACACGTGTTTTAAGTAAAAAATACTGTATTTCGTTCATGTCAGGAAAACAAGTTCAATGTTGTTACCTTGTGTTATTTTTCTGTATGTGTTAACAGAGTGGTGTTTTTAGATAAAAGTTCACCGAAATTGATTGACGATTGTAACAATACTAAGAAAAGCAAACGCAATTACTTTTTAACAGTTTGATATTACTGCTGGTCAGTGTTTTGTTTACTTAAAAACTATTGTTGTTTCTACTACCTACACGAAAGCTATTATAGTATCGCATCACTTCTCGGCTATGATTCACACAAAGTAGCTGATAAAATACCAAATGTGTCATAAAGTCGTTTTTACAGATTATTGCTACTAATCTCATTCATGAATGAAAATGAAATTAGGCATGCTATTTCTAGCACGCAGAATTCTAGAATTTTCTCAGCCGACAGCAACTAGCGTGGGTGCATTATCATTTTTTCGGCTATTGTTAACGCAAACAATTCCTTGTCAAATAATAGTGTTGGTGCAATTTTTTACATTAATCGCTAACCATCAACATAGAGCGAACTCCATGTCATAAACGCAAAATACTTGCTAATCCAGTTTAATTTTTGATTTTTACTATAAAATCTATATAATCTGACTTTCTGCGATTATTTTACATAAAACAATGCTGCAAAATAATCTACTAATAGTGGCGATTAATAACTAATCTGTCTAGATGGAACGTCAGCAGTGATAAAATTGTTAGAAAATCATCAGAACGTGTTCGTACTGCCCAAAACTGGAGGTGTATCAAACAAAAGGACATTTTTCGTTTCAATGTTTCAAAAACGCACACCTGTGTGAATAACTCTGCTGTCAAATATTGCATAAAGAATTACAACCACGATGGATTGCTTTTGTTAATCATTAACTTATTAAGCAGGCAAATCTAAATCTATTTATTATCGGAATATGCGATATCATTAATCTGTTCCTTTGATCCTTGCGGATTGGCCAAATTTTTTATAACCAGTTAATTTCACAGAATCGTGTGCTTGGTATCACCATCATGTATAATCTACGACATCTCTGAAGCGATAACAAAAAAAAAAGGACAAGAAATATGAAAGTCGTTTTATCGTTAACAATAACCTGTTGCAGATAATGTAAATTTATCTACACATTCAACACAATCGCAATTTCGAGAAGTCATCACACCCAGCAGTCGGTGGTAAATCGACAAGTTAACATGAATTTCAACTGAGCTTCCATTCGCGTTAGTGAAATTCTTGTGATTAAGAAAGTGAACGCTGAATAGTTTAATCACTCTTTTAATTAAGATATCGTTCGTTGTGGAATAAATTATAGCTGCTTTAAAAACGATTTCTGTGAAATGCTGTGACTGAAGGCTACTCCAATGCATTGTTGAACGTTGCATTAATACCTTGCACATCACATGATGACTATTCAAAGTGTGGAATTCGAAAAACATATTTTTCGCGATGTTGCAAGTCGAGATGTGAAGAAGGAAAATAAACAACTTTCTTCTAATTATCACTTTCGCGAAAACACCAAAAAGCAATCATTAGTTCTGGGTAATGTAATTATAAATTGTATTAAAATTTACTATCTCAAACACTTAGTCTTGCTCTGGATATTTGAAATAGTTGAAACTGGCCAAAATTCGATGCTTCTTTCGTTTCCGTTTGTCTGTCTGTTTGTTCAGATTTGTTCTGAAAGACAGTTGCTTAAAACAGTGAATCGTTCATGCCTTCATGTCTATGCGTGTTGAAGTCTTAATCTTTATTTCATATTTTGTTATGTTAGATAACGTCGAGTTCAATATTTGCTTAAAATATTTAAATATTTGAAACCGCAGTCAAATTAAAATATACTTAGCTAATGGATATGTAACTGTCACAATTATCCATAGGCCGGAGTTCCCCGGAAATCCCTCAAAGTACCTGACGCACTCGTCAATTTATTTCATTTTATTCATTCTTATTGGTTTAACAATTCATTTTTCTTCATTATCTATCTATATGATAACTCGTAAGTGAAAAGCTATGCGGACGAAT